TTGGCATTTTTAGCACTCATCTCTCTTACCTTCTTAGCAGTATTTGACTCTTCTGGTTACTCCCTCCTTTAAATACAGTTTCTCCCATTTGGCTTCCAAGATACTTCTCTCATTTTTCACACTATTCTTTCACCACTTTCTCCCAGTCTCTTCTGTTGGCCCTTCTTCCTCTCTGATCTTGTTAAATATCTATATTCTTCAACATATTTTTATAGATGATTATTAACTGCGTATCTATTTGATCGTGTTAAACCAGAAGGATTCTACTGCCTGGAGGCCTCAGGGTAAGTTGGAAAGAGGTGGGAGCTCTCCAGTTGGTGGGAGCAGAGCCAGGGTCCTGCCATGGAGGGCAGTTGACTCTAATACAGCAGAGAGCATGTGCAATGGATGATGGCAAGTGGCAGCAGTGAACAAAATTTATGCACAATCTTTCTCCTATCCCTTTTAAATCCCCATACATCTTATATATCTGATATAAGGTGCTCAGTGCAACACACTGTTGGACATTTTCTTCTTTATTTGAATGCATCTATTAGTAGCCACACGTTCCTCAGAAAGCTGACTGAGCCTGGAATCAGAGCAAAGTTGATAAGCAGTCTTCAAGAAAAAGTCTCCCAAGGGCCCCATCTTCATGCCTCATTGATTTCATTCATTCATTCATTCAGTGAACAAAAGTTCGTTGATGTGTATGCCATGTCAAGTGCTTGATGCTTGAACTACAAGGAAGAATAAGACATGGTTCCACTTTCTGAGGATATGACATTCTTCTGGGGAAACAGGCTATAAAAATCCTACAAAATAAATATCTGCCCTTTGATTAGTATACGCATCATCCTAGACAGTACTGGAAACTACTGATTTGTTCTAGAGCTGTGGTTTGCCTCAAAATGTTGACTTTGTGTTAATAGTTTTATTTGGGCAAGTTACTATAGCACTTTCTTTGGAGCTGCAGTTTTCTTCAGTTATGTTCCTGTCCTGTAGAATGGTCCCCTGGATTGGATTTGAGGGTCTCCAGAACTTCCCTCAGAAATATAAATGTGTGTGTGTGTGTGTGTGTGTATAAAATCTATCATTGTAG